ACGAGTACTTTGCCTTTTTGCGCCTTTTCATTTTGCCGCCGCTTTTTGGCTAACGGGTACAAAAATTTAGGCTTGTGTTTGTGTACCTATTGCGTTTCGTGTTTACATTTTGGACTAGAGGTACTAGAACGCAATGTGAAAACAAGATTAAAAATACGTGATCAATCCGATATGGTCGGAGTATCAGCTGAAAAACGAAAAGTTAAAATTGCGTTCGTCCAAACGCGGTGTTGGTCCGCACGTAGCAAATTTGAAAAGGTCAAAAAGAAACTAATATTAGCGTGGCGTGTTATGAGATTAAACCGTCCCTACATGTTTTGTTTTACACGAGTTCTATGTTGTTTTATGGTCACGTGAGCGTGTTGTTTTCTAATTAACTTTAAAGGGTTGGCCAAGCACGCTGCACGCTGGATAGACGTGATCTCTGGAATTATTGGTACACTCAACTTTGAATGAGATAGGGTACTACTTGCAACATGTTTTTTTTAATTTTACACGAAAACATTTTAAAATAGGCAATAAAAATGTATATTCATTGTTGTTGAATAGTATAAAAACTATTGTCGCCCTCTAAAGAGGGAGGGCTTATGTCGAAGCTTTCAGATTTTATTAAAAAACTGACTGTTCTCTCTAGAAAGATGAAGCTACAACTTAAGATACATTATTATCATGTCTTACTATCCAACTTAAGATAAAACATCATCAAAAAAAAAGTTTAAAAAAATAAAAACTCGGTTAATTTATTTTAGGCGAAAATTAAACTACTCTGTCTCCAAAACTAAGTGAAATCTGGGGTAGATTTCACTTAGTTTTGGAGTCAGAGTAGTTTTTGTGATTAAGCTTCTTTAAACATAAAATTGGGTTCGTTCTCCACAACTGACTGAAGTTTCTTAGAATATTTTTCAGACATGATCTTAAAAAAACTTCTACCTCTTGGCATGAAACCCCATAAACATGTCTCATACTTCAAGGCTGAACTCTGGAATTTTAGTGATTTTAATCTCGCAAAGTTAGTTGAAACTTAGACGTCAGTTAGTTCTGAACTACGTGCGCTTGCCTTTTGATTGGTGTTTAAACTCGTCTTGTGTTTGCTTGCTATCTTTAGATTTTAATTTTGCTGCTTTTAAAAGGTAGTTGAGAACAAACATAGACGAAATAATTCTGCTTTATCTTGTTTATTTGACAAAATACTTCTTAGTTTTAAAGCGATGTAGATTGTAAGACCAGCTGCTTAATATAAACAAGAAAATGCTTTGCATTTAAACGTCGTATCCTAATTCTTCGAAAGTAAATCATCCTCATAATAAGATATTTTTTTTACATTTGCTATGCTGTATTCGAACCCGCTTATGTATCTTTCCAGCTGAAGTTGTAGTCCTGTTTATGCACCATCAGGGTAAGCAGCCATTATGATTCATCATTATCATCATCATCATCTCAGCCATAGGACGTCCACTGCTGAACATAGGCATCCCCCAATGCTTTCCATGTTGCCCGGTTGGTAGCGGCCTGCGTCCAGCGCCTTTCTGCTACTTTTATGATGTCGTCGGTCCACCTTGTGGGTGGACGTCCCACGCTGCGTTTTTAGGTACGCGGCCTCCACTCCATTATGATTACGTGATATTATCCAATTTGACGTATCCCCTTTTATAATTTCATACACAATTTACTTTAAGAAAATCTATACTTACTTTAAAGCCGAAGAGTTTGTTTGTTTGAACGCGCTAATCTTAGGAACTACTGGTACGATTTGAAAAACTCTTTCAGATAGACTATTTAGCGAGGAAAGCTAATAGGCTATACAAATATCATCACGCTATGACTTGGGCTGAGTTGCACCACCTAACTGACCGTAATTATAACGATAACCGGCGTTTTTGTATGGAGTTTGACAGATTTTTTATGTTTTTCAAAGTTAAAGTAAGATGATGCAACCCAGACTTAGTAACTATTCCACACGGACGAGGTCGCGGGCAGAAGCTAGTAGAATATAATTTTGAAAATCTTCCAAGCGTAACCTTCAAGACTAACTTGAGCTAACTCGTGTAGGTGTAAAGCTATCCGTTTGAAAGTTAACGTGTTAAAGAAGTTTCCACCTCGCACTTAATTTATCGTTTCATTACCCACAGCTTGTGTCCCATCCAACCTGACTCACGTAAAATGTATCTACACATCACATTTATGTTCGTTGCAAAATAGTATTTATCTACACTAATAATATAAATGCGAAAGTAACTGTGTCTGTCTGTCTCGCTTTCACGCCTAAACCACTGAACCGATTTTGATGAAATCTATACTAATATTATAAATGCGAAAGTAACTCTGTCTGTCTGTCTCGCTTTCACGCCTAAACCACTGAACCGATTTTGGCACAGAGATAGTTTGAGTCCCGGGAAAGGACATAGGATAGTTTTTATCCCGGTTTTTGAATCAGGGACGCGCGCGATAAAGTTTTTCTGTGACAAACAAAATTCCACGCGGGCGATTCCGATGGCGGAAAGCTAGTTACAATTAAATAGATGCTACAGTGATCTTGACATTCTATCGTTCGTTTGTACTTCAAAGTTTAATTGACGAAGTGGACTTCTCTGGGACAAGGGTCCCTCTAATGAATAGACTATAGAGGCATTTTTCGACCTAAAGGTTCTGGATTTCATTGATCCCATACGAATATTTGACAATAAATTAAACATCACCTGCAATAATCGCTTCCATTTTAGTAACGCCAATAAATTCTCAAAAAATTAATTGATGCACAGGGTGTTAATTTAAAAAGTATAATTCAATTCACAAAAATAAAATTTATTATGATAAACATATCAATGCATTCGCAAAATCATCGTTACTTCCTGGAAAATTTGCATGTCCATTTTCGCTGTATTCTGTTCTACTCATTTTTGTTCTAACCCAAAAGATGCGCTTTCACGTTTTGAACAATATCGCAGCGCAAATTTTGCATTTCATTATAATCTGGCTTTATTAGCCTGTGCCGTTTGAGTACTGCCTGTTTATTCCGTGACCGTTTATTCTGTGGTCGTTTATTCTGTGACCGTTTGTTTTTGCCGGTGTGGAACAGAAGCAATTTTATTGTGTTTTTGTCCGAATGAAAATGAATATAAATTATTCTGCTGATGAAAATGGACTGCCCAGTGATCAGTTAAATAATAAATAAGGTGTGAATGAATGCAGTACATTTTGTTAGTCTGGCAGTGAAATTGCTTTATTTTATTTTGATGTCAATTTAAAAATTAAAAAGTATTTATTTCTAAAAGATGTCACATGTACAATTTATTCTGGCGGTTTCTGCACTAAGCTAGAAAGCTTGTATCGCAGCGGCCAATTCAAACAATTACCTTTGTATTGACATTCGGTCAATTCAGTAAACATACTTTTAATGACGATTTCAAATTGAAGAATTCAAACATTTTTAAGTATCCAATTGGCTTCGATTTAGTCTTTATACAATAAAACATAGTTAAATACATTTCTTTGCCAATTATATTTAAACAACAGCGTATCTTTGTGAAGCGACGTTGTTATATCATTTGTAAAAAGAATTTTATAATGTGAGCAATATTGAAAAGACCACCTGTTACGTTATGCCATTCGAAGATCAAAGGACGTCCTAATAAAATGTAGTTCACATTGACTAGTTATTTTATTGAATATTATTTACTATTGTGGGAAGAAATGTTATCGTTAATCTAGTTAAAAGCACTTTTTAGACCAGTTCTTCAATAGGTTATAATAATCTTTGGAGTTAACATTTATAAGCCTCCAAAGGCGTTTAGCATGCATTTAGCAATTACTCGGAACAATGGAAAAACGTGATGAAGTACATACCTACTATCTCTATTCAGATATTCCTCCAAAAACTAGTTACTAATTTATTATTACAGCGAAGATATTTCAACAATGTGAGAAACCTCTTCTGTAGATTGTTATTGATCCCAACCCTCGTATATTCTTCATCAGCTATCAACTATACTAAGATTAATAACATGGATAGTTATTGGCAGTTAAATTAAACAGTAAAAGGCCTATTGGTAAACACATAAACCCATGCGAATCCATAAATTTTCCAACCATTAAACAAAGCGGGACAGTAAAATTATCCTAACTCCCAAATTTAATCTGTATCCAATTCTAAAACGAAATTGTGTACATTTTGTTGGACCAACCCATAGTTTATGGCGTACCGATTCCACTAAATGTGTTTAATTTATCAGCACCTAGTTGTTTTCCAGTGTTTGTGGCGAATTTAATTAATTATTCGATTATTTATCACGAGCCTCTTCGTTAGAACAAGACGTTCTTGCGGAATGTTTAATGGCGAATGGCGGGTGCAAAATGGATTGAGACTGTTCGGAGTTTGATTCATGGATGGAGTTGTTGTCTTTCTTAATGACTACTTACGTTGTTGTTAGAACAGTATTCGGATGTTTGCGGCTTTCGAGGCATCTGGAGCAATTTTTCACTGGAAAGATTGTTAGGAATAATGATTCGAAATGGATGATATCCCTGAAGTTGAACGTTATGTTTGATGCTTCCAAGATTTTCACAAGATTCAAGACGATATCTGCTTCTTTCCATTCTATTTTCGTTTCTTTTTCTTAGTTAAGTAATATTGTCATTAAGATAAATGGACACTCTTATTTAGTTAAATTCTTAGATTTTTGTGGAATGCAAATTAAGGCTCGTCAGTTATATCTTCTTCAGAATGAGCACTATATTTTAGACATCACATCTATACTAATATTATAAATGCGAAAGTAACTCTATCTGTCTGTCTTTCTTTCACGCCTAAACCAATGAACCGATTTTAATGAAATTTGGCAGGCAGATAGTTTGAGTCCCGGGAAAGGACATAGATAGTTTTTATTCCGGTTTTTGAAACAGGGACGCGCGCGATTTAGTTTTTCTGTGACAGACAAAATTCCACGCGGGCGGAAAGCTAGTGTCTTATATTCTAGATTTACTAACAATAACATTGTCCACAGATGCACTCGAGGGGACCACCTCAAAGTCTACTCCGAAGGTGGGACGCACGGACCAGGTCCTCCCGGAGTCAACGAGTATTCGGCCTGGTCCAGAGCCATCTGCGGGAACAGAGTTGATGCACCACCAGCCTTGTACTCACATGGACCGCTTCTAGTGCTGGAGTTCCACACTGGGTCGAAGATATCCAATGCGACTGGATTCGTGGGCACCTATAGATTTATAGATAGACGTAAGTTTAACTAATTTAGGCTGAGTTGCACCATCTTACTTTAACTTTAACAAACGTCAAAAATCTGTCAAACTCTATACAAAAAACGCCGGTTATAGTTACGGTCAAAGTTAGCAACTCAGCCTAAGTGTAATAAGTGCGTTGAGTTGACCACCAACAGGGTAAGATGGCAAGATGTCGTAAGGCAAGCAACATTTTCCTACAATAAATCCGAACGAACATGTAACGAATGAGTAAAAGAAGAACTTTTTAACTAAGATACTAATGGAATAATCGTCACTTGACCTTTTCCCCTGGAATAAACTTGAACTTTACTAGTAGGATTTTAAATGACAGTTAAGCTGCTGATCATGTCCAGGTAGGAGTTGCAGGATTGGAGATGAGTATAGTGGAAATAGAGTCGTTTACATCATGGCTATGCTTTTAGGCTTTAAATCAGTAATGAAACCATACTACGGACTTCGCCGAAAGTACTTACCTACCTAAGTTTTTGGCACAAGTAAGAAGTCGTGGGCGCTATTATAATTTTGCATTTCTGTTTCGAACAAAGCTTAATCCGTTCATTCAAAGAACCGGTGGAACACTTGAAGTGCTTTTTCATTGGAATGTTCATAAATAATAAGCACACTCAGGGATTGCCCGGCTCATAAAGTACCTACCTGAGCTCAGATTGAGTAAGACGAAAGTGTAGTAAGTACTATAGTACCTACACTTCTTTCATTCTTTGAGATTCCTATTGTGTTTTCGAGTAATTTAATGTGCACGATTATTTTCGTAGTGGTATTTTTATACCTCAAATTATTTACTTACCTAAAATATTGATAAAATGTAAGTGAGTATTAAATAAAAATATTTTTCAACATATAAACATGAATTCGACTCATTTTGTCGAGAAAAACAAGTGACAACGAGAGTTGACCGTTTTTATTACAAGCTTTATATTGACTTCACTTGTTAGTATGTGTGGGACAAATCTTGCTACTGAATTTAGGACCACTTCTCCTCAACCGATTGAGCTGAAATTTGGTATACTTATGTAAGTACAATGACAATGCAATGTTATGGTACCATTGAGCTGGTCTGATGATGGAGTCAAGAGGTGGCCATAGCCCCATAGGAACTCCTAAACGAAACGGCGGAAACTTATCGAGTTTGGGTTCGTTGGATTCGACTTCCCGAGCACTTTGATGCTAAATGATGACCAGGGCCCAGAAATTGAGAAAAAGTGTAAAATAAAATTATAAATAAAAAAATAACTTTTTTAAAAACAAGCTTTATCCTGAAATGCAGTTGTACTTAAATGAAAAAAATAATTGTATGCTAGGTTCAAAAAATTTCGAAAGCTTGTAGCGCAAACAGAAAAAAAGAGGAATAAATTCCATGCGCGATACAAGCTTTCGAAATTCTTTGAACCTAGCATACAATTATTTTTTTNAAAACAAGCTTTATCCTGAAATGCAGTTGTACTTAAATGAAAAAAATAATTGTATGCTAGGTTCAAAAAATTTCGAAAGCTTGTAGCGCAAACAGAAAAAAAGAGGAATAAATTCCATGCGCGATACAAGCTTTCGAAATTCTTTGAACCTAGCATACAATTATTTTTTTCATTTAAGTACAACTGCATTTCAGGATAAAGCTTGTTTTTAAAAAAGTTATTTTTTTATTTATAATTTTATTAATAGAAAACATTCGGTAGTTTTGTTTGTTCTCAAGCAAATAAATACGTAATTAAATCACTAATTGATTTTCCCCTCCATAGATCTCACTTAGCTCATTGCTGGCCCTCTTCGTCTTAGTCTAATCAAATCAGTAGCCTTAACGGAGCAATAAACTAACAATTAAGGAGTAATAAATGGACCACAGGACAGTTCCAGATACAGTCTTGTACTGGAATAAAATGTTAATTGCCTCCGAACGAAGTAGCTTCAGTTTATTTTATTGCGAAATAGATCGTTTAGGAGATTGAATTAATTAATTTAAAGATTTGATCGTAGTTCAGAAATAGATAAAAATTGAATAAGACGACGGTGCTGAAGCTACGTAGGTACTCTGGCGTCTTATATTGTTAAGTAATATTAGGCCTGTTCATCTCCGCGAGTTTACATCGAAAACAAAACACGCACGATGGCCCACCTACAGGATACTATTCGACAAGGCCTCACATACGAGCGAACATTGACTCACGCACACGTATTCTTGTGTATGATGGAAGAAAATAAAGAAAATGGTGTACTAAATACTCTGCAGTATTTAACTGCCTAAATAATAATAAAAACACAGAATGTACTTTTTTAAGTTGCCTCAAGACACTGAGAGGTAAATAAGTAGTTAATATTATTCATGATAATTCATGATAAATCATGTATTTCTTCCGCCATATTCCGCAGTTTGGCACCTCACGTTACATCATTTTACCGAAGTCAGCCCTATAGCTTGGGCGCAGTGCCGATCACTGACGTTTGTCAACAAAATGGTGCTTGACTCTTGAGACAGGCTAAATTACACCATATTGTTAATGACATTGAGCATACATTTTTTTAAATACCTTCGCGAAGTAAAACTTCTGTACGTAGTACTTATTAATTATTCTGTGGTAATATTAATTATTATCAGAACGGAATTAGTGGTATCGGAGAAATGTTCTTTGGCGAAATTCAATACGTCCAATTTATCCAAAACACAAATAGTTTAGTAGTAACAATACAAACCGTGACGTCACATCGACATTCTAATCGCGGGAGGTGTGCGTGCGGGTAAGTTAGGGAGATTGGCATTCCAGTTAGGTGCGCAATTAGCTCCACCGGTTTGTACTAATTAATACTTATTAAGAACTAACAGCCACCCGCGACTTCGTACGCGTGGATCCCGTTTTACTCCCTTAGGGGTTGAATTTTGTGACATTTCGCGATGAAGTGAGTGAGTCAGTCAGTCAGTCAATCAGTAACCTTAAATTTCGCTTAAGGGATGTTTCCTGGGTCAAAAAGCAAGAGTTTTAATTAGTCCGTCAGTTAACTTATCAAAAAATACTCTACACGTATTTTTCACTTTTTCAAACTAATGAAAATTTAAAGAGATAAAGCGCGTCAAAGTTCATAAGAAGAGGCCCGTGAGGTCAATGCGTGCATAAAAGTGCCGCACGTTGTGACGTCGTGCGGAACTTCAACGCACCATAACTATGTAATTATTTGTTAGATTGACAAATAAAAATATGTGTCCAATATTTTTTGATATTAAACATGACGGACTAAAAAAATTTTTTTAGGAAACTAGCCTATTGTACTGTTTTTATGTAATATCCTTCTTTGTATGTTTCTCTGGCCGATTAAATAACTATTATTATTTTTCCACCAGGTAACTTCGAAACAGACGGAGTGCAAGTGCCAGAGACCTGGTGCGACTATGTCTTCCACTCACAGCCGAATCGACCAGCTCATGGACGTCTGTACAGTCCTCGGTACCCTTCGAGCTACCCCAGCAATATACGGTGCAACTACCATTTTAATGCCAGGTGAATTATTAATTTAACTTTTAAATACGAACAGCTAGGGACTGGCATTCGCTGCCTGTTGCTGTCTTTCCTGAACACTTTAATCCGGGCCTTTTCAAAGCGAGAATGAATACACTTACAGGGCAGATATGTACTATCCTAGACTGCATCTCACTTAACAACAGGTGCGATTGCAGTCATACACCTACCTTGTTTTGCATTAAAAAAAAAGAATAAAAATGTCAGTAAAACTTGGAAATTTTTATACAATAGATCCTTAATTGCTCAAAAAAGTCACATTTTCCTGTAAAGTCCTCGATACCCTTTGAGCTACCCCAGCAATATTATACGGTGCAACTAGCATTTTAATGTCAGGTGAATTATTAATATAAAATGTCATTTAATTTTTGTTCTCGGTAAAAAATAGGGTTTTTTTTTTAAACTGTACTTACATTTCACAAGGTAAGCTACAAATACTTATCGAAATAGACAGAAAAATAATATTTGTGTTCATTATTAGTACTGAGTATAATACCAGTCTCTTTTAAAACAAGGTCAAATCGCCATGAAAATAATGCCAGGTTTTAACGAGCTCTGAATTAAGATTAGGTTAGAAATAATAAACTGAATTTCTCTTCTCTGGCGTACAAAATGTTTTAACGAAAAACCTAAACTTTTTAAAATTTCTTCTTGATTAATTTAATAAGAAAATATTTTTCACCTTTTTCTAGTAACTTATTACACTTTCCCCGAATAAGCTTATTCACAGTTCTGAAACGTAACAAGATATAATAGACATTGTTAAATATACCAAAGAAACCACTTTGTACTTAACGCAAAATGTCTGAGAAACATCTCCAGCAGGGTTGCCGATAGTGATATGCCAAAATCCCCAAGCGCATTGGGGAAAAGAAAATTTTACAAACTATTAATACCAGTGGCGTAACTACAGGGCAGAGCTGGCAAAATGCCACGGGCCCCCGACCCTAGGAGGTCTGGGGTCCAAGAGGCCGAGCTCAGAAAAATATAATTTTTTTTTTTCAAATTTGATTTATCTAAATGCACATTAAATTGTTTGGGCCACCGATTCGACGATGATAGTTAACAGTCATTCATGAGCTATGATACAAACTTATAATATTAAGGCATATCAGGGCCAGCNACGGGCCTGATTAATACCACATTTAAATGAAACAATGATCTATAAATTTCTGTTTTAAGTTAATTAATTGTAAGAAATCAATCAAGACTTGCAGAAAGATGTTATATTGCAAGCTTGAGTTATACTTAAAATCCCCACATTTCCCCCCAAATCGAAGCTCTCCCACACATTCCCCAATCAGTTTCGCTTTCCCTGAGTCTGGGGAATTCCCTACAGATTGGCAACCCTGATCTCCAGTCTCAACATTCTGTGAGAAAATAGCAGAACTCTTGTACGAAACAAATAAATCAGAAGTTTCACTCGGAGCCTTATTTAACGATGATGGAAACAGAAATAATGGATTTCACTTTATTCAGGGACTAAACAAAAGAATTGATTTCAATAGCTGTTGAGCTTGTCAAAATTCATTTTTGTAAAGTCAATTCATTATCAAGGGTAATGAGAAATGAAAATGTATTTTTGTTCTACTTTTAGTATAATAATTTATTAATCTATACTTATAATAAGTAAATCTGTAGAGAGGTCAATTCTGTACATGAAAGATATTTTCAAAATAACTATCAGGGGGTGATTAGTGATCGATACTGATGCCAAAAATGCAATCAGTAAAATTTTTGTCTGTCTGTCTGTCTGTCTGTATGTCTGTCCGTCTGTATGTTCCTTATAGAAACAAAAACTACTCGACGGATTTAAAAAAAACTTGGTACAATTATTCTTCATACTCCTGGGCAGGTTATAGTATACTTAGGAATTCCGACGGGAACAGGAATTAGCGGGAAAATCCTTTTGTATGAAAAATCTAAACCACTTAAGTCAGACGCTTGAAATTTGGCATGTACCGTAAACTTAAAGCTTAGTTACAACAAGGAATTCCCGAAATTCCCACGGGAACGGGAATTAGCGGGAAAAAACATTTGTATGAAAAAATCTAAACCGCGTAAGATAGATGAAGGGGGTAAAACGGGATCCACGCGTACGATGTCGCGGGCGGCCGCTAGTGAGAAATAGACGGTGGATCTGTCAACAGCACTGGACCAAGGGTGATATACTGTTTGTACCTACTCCAAATGACTGTCGTGTCTACAACGATCAAAATGGCGCGAATATTTGTTATGCGCAACTTTAGGGCCCTGTGTCTTTTGTATTTGTAGAGATATTTTCATGATTCTTTCACAATCATTATTAGTTTTACTTATTATTAGTGGTACGGTAAGATGTTAAGCCTAGTCAGAGCCGACTATCTACTGTCATTAAGGACTTTACAAAGAGTGCTAAAGGGTGATCATGCAAACTATCGCCCGTATTCACAAACATTGCTATGAGGTCTCACAGTGTGCGTGAACGCACAGGATGACACACAAACCAATGACAGACCTGTATTCAACACTTTGTGTTCTATTTGCTACTCCACTTAAGCAAGCTACGTTTGTGAAAACGGGCGTTAGTTTCTTATGCTACCTTATTGAGATCACAGGCTCACGTACTTAATGATCTTTGGTAATAATAAAATACATTATTATAATATAGTACATTAATTTAATTACCTACCGTTTTCCTTATTCACATACGAGACAATAAGATACTCAAAAATGTACCAAAACATAATTAAGGTGATAAAGTTTCCAAAATCCCTTTTATGTGGGTTAATCTTGAATGTTCTTTAGTAATCGAATTACATTTACTTGAAATTCATTACTAATTGATGTTACAAAGACTTTAACAAATGATTTATTAATTAGTTTTAAGTTCTTGTTACTTTTAGTTGATTGGAATGATATTAATTTTACAGACAACACGAAAGGATCAAACTACTTTTCGAGGAATCGTTTCTTCAAAAAGGCGATGAAAGGTAAACGTAGCTTTACTATTCCTAATATCTATTTAAGCGTTTTATTATTCCTCTATTTAATTGATCGTTTCTTGAAAGTAATATTTCATTTTCAGTTGCCTAAATCGGGCTGATATAATTAAAGTGTTTGATGGAAGACTAGCCACCGCTCCAGTTTTGGCCATGATCTGCAATGAAGTCATAGGTAAGTTTAATTATTTTGGACCTTATGATAAGAGAACAATGTTTAAATTAAAGTAGCAATCTCGTAAAGAGTTTAATACTATTGATGTGCGTTAAACGTTTTATTCTCGAATAAAAAAAAACACATTAGGTACTATACATATTTATAAACTGTTTATCGCATCATCTATATCCGTTATGCATAAAAACAGATCACTAAAACATTTCAAATGATGTAATTTTGTGAAAAAAATATACAGATATGTAGGCACAGTCAGCGCCACATAGTTCTTTTCTTTTCTTTTTTCTTTTTTCAGCCAAATGACGTCCACTGCTGGACAAAGGCCTCCCCCAAGGTTTTCCACAATGAACGGTCCTGCGCTGCCCGCATCCAGGCTCTTCCCGCGACCTTTACCAGATCGTCGGTCCACCTAGTAGGAGGCCTGCCCACGCTACGTCTTCCAGCCCGTGGTTGCCACTCGAGAACTTTCCTGCCCCAACGGCCATCGTGTCTACGAGCTATGTGCCCCGCCCACTGCCACTTGATTTTAGCAATTCACACATAGTTCGTGACACCAAAATAGCCAAAAAGTTCGCAACACGTCTTTGTTACGGATTATTAATGGAATAAGGTTGTGTTGTCAATTTTTTGGTCACTTTGGGTGTCACGAACTATTTGACGCTGACTGTACGGTCTACTGTGAGTGAGACCGTTAGGTATATTGCAACCTACGGACTTCAAGCTAAACATTGTGGCATATTACGTAGTTATAAATGTGAATTTGCAACAAAAAAGTTACTCTTGATTTGCTGTACACTCACTGACTCTATTAACTTCGAATCTAGACTTACAACCCGGTCAAGTTAAATGCGCACCAAGCGGCAGTGCCGTCACATCGACGCTCTGGTACGGACGGGGCGCTGGTAAGTGCGAGAGAGACTCGCTTTCCAGCGAGGTGCGCAGTTTACTTGACCGGTTGTAAAAATACATCCATCAATGAATGATAATATTGTTTCCAACAGGCTACGAGGTGCTATCAAGCGGGCCAGATCTCTTAGTGCAGTTCACAGCTAACTCCAACACGCCTGGTCAGGGTTTCAAGGCCAGCTACCAGTTCCAGATGGACGACTCATCTAGCACAGGTTTAGTAAGCATTCTGTTAGGGTGACCAAGAGAGGAATTTTAAGGGGTAGAAGTATTTCATTAGGGTAGTTAGAATAGCCGTGTGCTTCCGAACATTCGCGAACATTATGTCAACAAGACGGGTTAAGGCGTTCTTATTGACCAATGTGCGAAGTTTGGGCCAAATCCTCCGTTTGCTGATGGTTAATTAGAGAGAATCGTGCTCCTACTAAAGAGTAAAGACTAAATAGTGTAGTTTATAGTTAAAGGTGTAATCTTCGCGCCAAAATATAGCAAATGTTTATAATGCTAAAAATTGTTCCAAACTGAGATTGCATCCTCAACATTATTTACCTTTGTACTAAGGTTGTGGACTAGGTGCTCCTTTTAATCTTTTTCTGTTTCAACAATAATAATATTGGTATTTCAATATAACATTTATAGGTAGTCGTGTTTAAATAAAGCACGTTTGTATCAACAATCTACGGATTTTCTCTTCGAAACAGACACATCGGCAATAAAAGTTAAATATCATTCAGCAATATTTTCTCAACAAACAAAGCAATTACTTCTTACCCATACTCTTTCTGTAAATAATGACACGGATAATTGTCGCAAGTCACAAAAGAATCCCACGCAAACAGAACGATAATAGAACAAACCCAAAACACCTACAAATCGTCGTTAATGCCTCTGATAAATCATCAATACCTACGCAATAAAGAATATTTTCGCTCGCAGATCCAGATATTAGAAAATCCAGTACGACAGAAGCAATATCCGGGCTGGGTCCGGCAGTCAGCGCTGCGAGTAAGTTATTGTAATTTTATTTACTCTAAAATCCGGATTTTGGCTTTTGAAACTCCCGGATCTGCATTCCGGCGAATTTACCAAAGTGCAACGCCTATAAAATTATGGCGGGGAATTTGTCGCTGCGATAATACTATAGGTTCTTGAGAACCAGTCGCTTAATATCTAACTGAAATTTGATTTCATCAGCTGGATTAAATTTGAGATGTTTTAGTTGAAGCAATTTTAGTTGGAAATGCCAGACGTTTACTCGAAGCCAGATGGGGTCTAGTTTGAATGAAAATAGCATTAAGTGTTTTTTTATAACTTCAATAGGATGGATTTAATTCTTTTTAATACACTTTCAGTCATTGGACAGAATACAATAGAAACATATTATTAAGGTCAAAAAGCATATTTAAGACACTCTGCATAGTGTCCAAGTCGAATTAAAAAAAATACAGAACAAAATTAATAATTAATGAACAGAATATTATTACTTCTTGGTGTTGAGCTTCTTGGTAATTGCCTCGCATCTTAATTTTATATCATTCCATGTATCTACATGTGGATAACGTGGTGGGATGTGTTACCGCATATAGTACATAAGTCTAGTGGATAAGTTAATTTCTGTAACACATTGTTTGTAATTCCTAAAAATAAAAATAAAGTACTGCGTCCAATGACTGGAAGTTTACCCTACTCATTTTACGACAAATAGTACCTATATATTCGTAAGACTATCCGGATTAAAATTCACCACGTCACTAGATCTGATTATTGAACTAGAGGGGTCCATCAATAAAAGTTCCAAGTCACATTATTTATTGAATAAGTCCACCATTCTAACACTGCGCACGCTCTACGCTTCTAGGGTTGTCAACATCATGAAATTCATTTTTATTTCTTGAAAAAAGAAATATCACGTAGAACTTGTTAAGAGAGAATGTCTATGTACTTTTATAGTTTATTATTACATTTTATTTTTCAAAGAATTTAACTTTGTAACTGTTTCAATATTGCAAAGTGAATGATTTTACCAAGCTCTTATAAAGTGCTCTAGGATTACCTAGAAGAATAGAAGTAAAATGTACAGCACAATAACTTAAAAAAAACCTGTGTTTACCAGCGTCGTCCTGCGATCAAGTATTCAGCAGCGATAAAAGCAAGAGTGGGAAGGTGACGTCACCACTCTATCCGAAGCCGTATTTGCCGAAGACGCAGTGTCATTACGACTTCTTGGCGAGGGGCAGAGAGAGAGTCAGACTGGTGTTCGAAGACTTCAGTTTGCAGAGGGTGACTGAAAATATTATTGAGTAAGTGGTAGTTATGATTTTGTACTTAACAAAATAACGGATACGACCTGCAAGCTTTCAAGAAGAGAGCGTATCTTCCTTAGAGTAGGCGCACACCGTTGATTTTTCGTCGGCCGATAGTTTAGTCGGGCAGTTGATCAGTATGGGCATGTATGGGAGTGCGCACACTACGCCGATTCGATTTGGCCGATTCTTCATACAAATTAAAATCGGGCACAACTATCGGCCAACTAAAAATCAACGGTGTGCACCCACTCTTAAAGGCCGGCAACGCACCTGTAACGCCCCTGGGTCTGCGGGTGTCTATGGGCGACGGTAATCATTTACCATTAGGTGATTCGTCTGCTCATTTGCCTCCTGTCATATAAAAAACAAAAGGTTGGCAAAAATAAAACGGGAAACTCAGATCACAAAAATAAATATAATTTAATTGTAGCTAAAATTGAAATTTTTCGCGTAAATATTTCATTCATTCAACTGAATGGTCTGAGCCCTTTTTGAGGATTAGCCAACTTTTAATTAATTTAAGATGCCTACTTACCTAATTATTATTATTTTTCTCTTATCTTTGCTTAAGTTATTCATACAATATATAGGACAGACTCAGAACTATGTAATACTTTTAGTAATGAAATCAGCTTGTTGTTCGTGCACTTTTTGAAGACCATTGCATTACAAAATTAAATAAGTTAACTTAATAATTTTAACAAAACCACTTCATTTTTCATTTAAAGTTAATAACTTAGATAAACCACAGGACTAAATCTCTCCGCACTATATTTGTTTGTAAAATTCTCTACTCCAGGTCCAGAGCATGTTTGCATTTAGTTACTAGCCCGAGCAAAATGACCTCCCAGGGGAGTGCAAAATGTTAACTACGTAAACTCAGTCTACGATAGATAATATTGTTAGATGTAAGTTACTCTACTCGCCCTGTGTAAAGGTCCTTAATAATTCATGTTTGAAGAGACAAAACCTAACAATGTGTTAACAAAATGCAAAAAAATTGTTTAGAAAACAATAATTACACAATTTGAAAGTGATTTATACGCTTCGTTTGTTACATATCACTTGGGAATCATTATAAAGATCAAAAGATTTCTTAGAGAATGGTAGACACCAGTCAAGCTAACTATTATGTCATAAAAAGTGCTATTTTGCTTCAAAAATGTAAAGTCTGATGTGCTGTAAGGAATATTTACCAGACGATAGACTCTTTTTAGGGGCCAATAATGAAGTATTGTAGACCTAAAATTTGTTCAAAATACTTAAAGGGTTAGTAGAGTTTTTGAACAAAATACTAGAGCCAAATCTGCAATCTTACGAAATCTCACCCTTCTAGAAAATGCAAAATGGCGTTGATAAGGTGCTCACGTAAACTTTCAAAGTGCTAGTATTCATATCAGCGCATAAGGTATCAATTTTTATCCACACCAGCTGTTGCCAAACGTGAAAACTATAGCATTTTCGAAAGAATCATTATAGCGTTTTGGCAAGACGGCAGATCAAACCATTTTAAATTTTACATTTCAAATATAAATGGGTAACGTGCTGCGCTAGAAATTTATTAGTAATCATGATATTTTAAAGTATTTTTAAAGTGCTGTAACGAAATAGGTCCCATTTTAGTCAGTGTATTGTTTTCCCAATTAATTGGGATGTAATTGATTGAATCAACCTGAATCTATCTTCGAAGAAAGTTTTGTAATTTAAGTAACGAAAAAGGTTACCCCAACCAAGTCTAAAGGTGAATTTTAAAATAGAAATAAAAGGTATAGTCTAATTAAATACAGTCTTGTTAATCTTAAAGTTTTATGCAACAGCTTTGACTGTAACTTGGATGCAAATGCAACTCGGTAACAAAAACTGTTACACCTGTTTATTTGTTGGTTAATTTTGAAGTTAGAAGTTCAAGTTACAAAAGTTTGAATTTTGCGAATTTTTAATTTGAAAACATTTCCTGCTAGCCTGAATCCAACGGCATGTTTTTTGTGCAACTTAACCAGAAGACAAGCAAATTAAGTTTGTATTCTAAAGACTTAAAGTGCATATTTGAAAAACCTGATTGAAATTGTAATTAAAATTAAATACATTAATGTACGAGTAAGCTCATATTGAAGATGCGTATTTTGCGTTTCCATGATCCAGTGAGAGCTTTGACGTCATTGTCCTTACCATCATTTATTACGTTTAAACCATAACGTTAACGTTTGTAGTTACGTTACCCTATTTCACTTAACCTTCTTTTGTTTCAGCTGCGAGAGCATGGACTCGCTAGACATATTTTTGTATGTAGATGGCCGACTTGAGAAGATGATATCATTTTGTGGCAGTGAGCTGCCGAAACCAATCATGTCGAACGGACCAAAATTGTCTATCGAATTTCGAGGGATGTTCTCCTCGAGACATAGTAGGGGGTTTAAGATAGCTTATTCTTATGTTGAAGGTAAGTCTCAAGTTTGAAATAAGTACCTGTAGTTTATGCTATTCGAAATTACATATTATTTCGTTCTATGTGTTACGTTTTCCTCTACACCTTAGCTAGTTAGTTTGAGAATTAATTCTACACTACGATCACCAATCTCCCTGAAACGGCACAGCTTAATATAAAGTGGAAAAAAAAAAGTTATTCTAGTGATTTGTCTTTGAGCTGACTCAAAGATGACTTTCAGCCATGGAGAACACGTTTAAATGTTCAAACAGTGGCATCCCTATAATGCTTGTGTGACCAATTAGTAACACAGAACATTAATAATACAACTTACAGACGTACCAGCTCACAATTACGTAGTGAAATACACGAACATGAATTATGCACCAGTTGGCTACATTTCAAAGTTCTGGAAACCTAACAATTCCAAAATTTCTAACAATTACGAGTAGCTAGGTGTGTTTATTGTTAGTTCTTAAGAAGCGTTGCTGCATTGTCAGCGATTTTCACTAAAGCCCCTCGCCCACGGCGATTTTTTGTAGCGATGCAGTAGCGATTCTGTCGCGCGTTCGCATCGATACAGTAGCAATGCGGTCGCTAGCTGTGTACCCTCGCCCACATAAACGCGCGTCTGTTGCGATGCAAATGCGATTCAGTAACTCTCCCTCCGTTCTCTCCCCGATGTCGTCCGACACGGTCGCGTGTTTGCATCGATACAGTTGCGCTGCTTTAGCGCGTTGACATCGCTTCTGTGGTACGTTGCAAATGCGACTAACGCGCGTTAGTAGCGATACTGTCGCGCGTTTCGTAATCACTACAAAAAGTCGCTGTGTAATTAATTTGCTATGGTAAAATTCATTTGGTGTACAGACACACGTCTTGATGTGACGTGCGTCTCATGTAGTCGCAGAAATTGCTTTTTGCAAAGAAGAATGTAATCTATTCACGATTTGACTTTACCAACTTGCTAGCTTAGAACTAGCCAATCGGTGAACTACTCACAAGCATGAACGAATTTATTTTTGACACGCACGTGGCGTGGGGAATAGACGAATAAAGGTCGGAAATCTGAAAGGGATAACACCGTGTCGCCTTTCGCGAGCTGTCATCGCCTTATGCGCGCTGTCAACCGAGAGGTGAGGCATTTACGAGTACACTACGGTGCGGATAAGTGAGCGTTGCAGTAAACAGGGTGATTTTTGTATCAGTATCCAAATTTTCAGGATCGACTCAGAATCATGTCAGTTCATGGAAAAATACGTACACACAGTTAACTGCAAAGCTTAATAGACATAATAGTGAGCGAAAATAAGCAATAACCTTTAAAACTTAAGATATGGGCACCCGCGGATTCGACTTAAAATTTTTTTTTGCGAAAAATACCACAATTAAAAATAGGTAATTACGATAAAGTTGTATTGTCAAATTGTTCTAACGAGCTTATTAAAAAAATTTGGATACTGATAACAAAGTCACCCTGTAGAGTTTCATAAGTATTCTACTGACCGCCTCAAGTTGATACGGTAACGATTCTGGGTTGATAAGTGAACTACGTCCTTAAAGTATAAATATTTTCTAGCGGAAAGTGAACACCATGCATAGCAAAGGTGGACTGATAAATAAGTACACAAGGATGCTTTACTTTGATGTTACGGATATTTATTTGAGTGAAAGTCAAAAACAAACCTTACCTGTTCAAAATTAACGTTTTCTTTTAATTAAATTAAACTTCCCCAACCGTGACCGTTCACGCCTCAACTTCTTTTTATCATAACGACGTGATTATAACTCCAATTATTTCTAGGCAGTCGATTACAAAAATTAACCGTTCCTTTGCAAACTTTCTGGTGAACGCGAAATGAAAATTTCATTCGTCCGTGAACGGTAGCCAGTTGTAGGGTTGTCACCAACGAGCAGAGAGCGTTTATATGTTTATTTTGATGGAAAATAAACAACTTATGGGGCATGGTTTACACTAAAGATAACTACTATATATAAATAAGTAAATTATAATGCTTTTTTTACGTATTTCGTTAATATGAGGGAAAGAGAGTAAGGTCTAAAATGATGCACAAATAACTATACATCTGTACTCAAGTATGTATAGTCAGCGTTCTAATTAAAAAAAATAATCTTTCGAGTATCGTTTAAGACTACAGGCTGGATACTTACCATGAAATAATAATAAGTGTCAGTATGTTTTTATTTGTTTCTATGAAACATAACCCATTTTAAAAGAAACAAAGTTTAAATAATGGCTTATGTATGATGCGTCTCAGTTGCACTTCAGTGGGTGTAATAGCCCTTCGGCATCGCGGCAGCTAGAATATTTCTAGGCAGGATTACCTTTGGATATTTATGCTCTTGCGAATCCGCCTTTAGTGTAATTCTGCTCCTCACAAAGCGATCAGAATGTCGAAAATGGAATTCAACTTGGCTATCTTCACTGCGAGTCTCGCTAGTTATCAAAATACCCTCTAACATGGCCATAGCAACCTTTTCAAATAATCATACCTCTTTTGAATAGGCCCGTAAATCTAAAGGATATGAGAATTTTATTTTTACGTTAAAATTGCGAAATTGAATTTTCAGTTGGGTTAACATTTGTCATTTTTAATACCTAGGGACACTGCTTAGCGGTGAGATTACGTTTTTGTGAACGTTTGTTACAAAAGTATTTTTCACTAAAAATCCTATTTGTATGAGCAATTTGAAATGCCTCTTTGATATTATTTTAAACACACTTTTTTCTGAGTTCTCCATGATGTTTCACCGTTTTGTTAATAATAATCTGCTATTTGAAATACCTACTTACTTAGAGCCAACACACGACGTGTTGTGGCTCTTTCAAGACATTCATGCTAAGAAAATGTTTTGAGATGAGCAAAAATTATTGGCAACCCTACAAAAATTGTCCGATCGCGCTTTTCTTCGCGAACAAAAATACTTTCAACAAGAAATCTGCTTCATAGATCAATCTTTCCGTTCAATTTAGTTAAGGAAATGTAAATACGATTTATTGGTTCCCTCTACCTGTTTTTATTAAAAGCTACCCCCAGTTTGCCGCTTGAGCTTTTGTTTATCAAGATAAGATTAGCTTTTAAAATCTTTTAGGCGTTTGAAGTATCAGTTAATAGGTTTTTAATAGTTTATTTGAATTAACGTGGGATTTCTTTGGCGTTTTATAAATTTAGATATGGTAGAGTGTTTTACTTATATTCCTGCTTAAATCAGCAAGAAACAGGAAATAATATTCCTGTTTCTTGCTAAATAACGTTAATTAATACAGAGTTTTTGGATGATTCTATTTTGGAATAGTCAGGCTCAATTGTCAGACTTCATTCAAATCAACGTGCCCTCCGAAGCTACGTAAAATGTTTTTCTTTTAATGATTAATTAATAACAATGTTGTGCGTGATCAATGTTAAAATGAAACCAAAAAAGTTTTATTTTCTAACCAAATCATAGTCATTTTATGGGACGGATTTTTCTTTTTATTGGCTGTCCAGGTGTAATAGAGTAACATAAATATTTTTTGATTTTGGTTAAAGTAAAACCTATTTTAATTAGTCCAGTCATTATAGTAAGTTCACCTCGGAATTCGAGATACCCAGCTGTAAATACGTGTATATTGACACCCTAAAAGTTGTCTCAAAACCTACATATGGTAGGGTGTAAGCAACTAAGTATTAAATTTCAAGGTATGAAAAATCTAAACCGCTTAAGTTGACCTGAAGTGATGCAGATTTCAAACAAAATTTTAAACAAAATTTGTAGAGAATTTTGTATTCTACAATATTGATAATTAATACAAATAGCAAAAAACACATAGGAAATGAGATATTTCCAAAAAAAAGCGCAAAAAACCGATTTTTGTGACCTTTGACCTTAAAATTTAATAGTTGCTTACACCCTACCATATGTAGGTTTTGAGACAACTTTTAGGGTGTCAATATACAAGTATTTACAGACTTACAGCTGGGTATCTCGAATTCCGAGATTCTTACCTAATTTAAGATTAAATGACTGGACTAAATAGCTTTCCGCCCGCGGCCTCGCCCGCGTGGAGTTTTGTCTGTCACAGAAAAACTTTACCGCGCACGTCCCTGTTTCAAAAACCGGGACAAAAACTATCCTATGTCCTTTCCCGGGACTCAAACTATCTCTATGCCAAATTTAATCAAAATCGGTTCAGTGGTTTAGGCGTGAAAGCAAGACAGACAGAGTTACTTTCGCATTTCGTTCGTTTCAGCCAAATGACGTCCACTGCTGGACAAAGGCCTCCCCCAAGGTTTTCCACAATGAACGGTCCTGCGCTGCCCGCATCCAGGCTCTTCCCGCTTTCGCATAACTTTCGCATTTACAATATTAGGATAGACAGACGTATCTAACCAATGAAACTTTTCTTGCAGATTACGGTATAACAACTGGGAACCAACTATTAGAATTTCCATGTGCCTTTGTATACAATAGCAGCGAGAGGCCTAGAGGGGTGATGACGTCACCGAACTACCCCGGTCTCTATCCACGGGATACGGAGTGCAATTACTTCTTCTATGGCCACGAGAATGAGAAGGTTCATCTACACTTTACGCATTTTGACGTGGAAGGGGTTTTACCGTAAGTATATCATTTACTACTTATAGAAAAACATCAATCTTTTAAACTGCGATCTCCAACCCGCCTGCCAAGCGTGGGGATTATGGAAAACCCTCCACTATAGTGGAGGAGGCTCATAGTCCAGCAGTGGACTGTAAAGGGCTGTTGATGATGATGATGATGATGATGATGATGATGAAGTACTTATAGTATGAGAGAGACGACGTACGGCACATCAATCTAACCACTATGATATCTTTGTTCGTTTCAGCCAAATGACGTCCACTGCTGGACTAAGGCCTCCCTCAAAGATTTCTATAACGACCAGTCCTGCGCTGTCCGCATACAGGCATTGCCCGTGATCTTCACCAGATCGTCGGTCCACCTAATCCTGTCCTGTAGTCTGATGTGCTTGTGACAAAATTAGAAATAGGTACAGATTTTAGGCGGACTAGAACATCTAGGGAAATAGGTCTGTCAAGTATCTGTTTCTTTGGAATTTGTACTTTTTCAAAGAACTGTACTACTCTGGTACCAAGAAAATTGCTTCAATACATGAATCCAAAATTGTTATGTAGACATTTTAATATCATTTGTTATTCAATGAGAGCTACATCTGTTTTATTATTTGATCCCCAACTCCGTTCTTTATTACTTTTTCGTGAGAAATAATATCTCTAGAGTTACAGCTGGATGCAAAAGTGAGGGTATTAATTTTATTTATAAAGGGTTTATTTTATCACACACATTTTGTTTTTCATGAAACAATGAGTCACCTGAGGGGTATTTGCATTTATAATCTTACTTGATGATTGTATTACTTGTAAATTAAAAAGAAATGAAATAATCTAGGCTTAGCAAACTTTTTTTATCATAAAGTATCATAAAAAGGAGATTTGGGGAAATTCCACGGGCTCACCTAGGTATATCAGTCATTATCAACATTATTTCAGCTTAAGTCAGTCTGCTACTAACAATCCATTAAGCATAAAATTACCTGTTGCCACCGATTTTTAGTTGGCCAATAGTTGAGCCCGATTCTAATTTGTTTGAAGAATCGGCCGATACCAAATCGGTGTAATGTGCGCACTTTCATACATCTCTATACTGATTAACAGCGCGACCCAACTATCGCCCAACTAAAAGTCGGTGGTCTACGCCTAGGCTTAACGAATTATTGCCAGCCTACTATTACTCCCATTCTTACGGTATTTCCGAGATAAGGAGACTCTAATTTCTTATGGTATACGTATCTAATACTCTAATTTAGAGTGTTTTTCTCTATAGAGAACCCGTTTCAAAGTCGAAGTCAAAGTCAAAGTCAAAATTTCTTTATTTGTTTAGACTAATAAATAGTTCTTACAAATCGTCATTTTGCTCTTAAGGAGCCTCTACATGTCTCATAATCTTTTTACCCTACCAGCGCTTCGAGACCAACATTTGGCAAGTGCTGAGAAGAAGCGCCGCAACAAACTCAGTCACCACTGTCTGCCGGTTAATATAAATAAATAGAAATAGTAGGTATTAGTAGGTACATTCGATTCAGGAGCAGTTCACTGAATTTACCATGCATTCTTGTATGGTGTATCATAAGAATGGGTATACAAGATTGCGTGGTATATTAAACAAGGTAGTGACGTGCTAATATCTAGACTTACATATTAAGGTACTAGTAGAAATGACTCCCTACTATAATGTTTACCTACTCCACCTCCTTTTCTGCGACATTCTGTATGGGCCATGTATATTCCTTGACTGCTAGTTTTCATATCCGCCTAATATAGTTCAACGGGCGTTGAGTATGAATTACGTGTGGGGACATTCATCAACGTCAGCAAGGCAATATGTTTCCTCGTCACCTAGTAATGTTTGTATAATGAGATCAGGATGGGAACTGACGTGTGCTGTTGCCAGTTTCATTTCATACGATTTTGATAGAATTCTGTAAGCTACGATTTATTTTTTGGCGCATAATGTTGATGAATTTACTGGTCCAGTTCTAGGCGTGAAATCAATAATTTACAATGAATGGTTTGATTAATTACTATACCTTCTTAAGTAATACCCTTCTTCTCATCTTTGGCCATTCATTGATTACAATTTGTCATTAACGATGTAATTTATCTGGTCTTGTCTGCCGTGTTGTGGTAGAAATAAGGCTCAATTTGATCAGTTCCTTTTCTATCAAATTCTTTAGAAATAGTACAGAATCTTAGCTGCTACTTATAAGGGACTCAGGTTGAAATTTGAAGTTGGTGGTAGGTACCGCAGGAAAACTGTTGTGATCGAGCAGGAAAGTTAGTCTATATTTAGAAGAAAGACTTTCCTACTTCCTACTAATATTATGTAAAAGTATGTGAGGATAGAGAGTTTGTTGCTCTTTCACGTGTAACCTACCATTTTGATGAGTCTGGAGGTACTTTGAGACCCCGTGAAAAATTTAAAGATAGTTTTACCAATTGTTGTTCCACGCGCGTGACATAGATTCTGTTGCAAATATATGCGAGAGAAGCTACAGATAAAATAGAATGGCTTTTTACAAAGACACCTAAAACCTTTTTTTCTCCAGATGCGAAGCAGTCTCAGCGAGTGACTACGTGCAGTTCTCCAGTCAAATGCTTGACTCTGACAGCAATAGACACTGCGGTCTCCTCAGAGACCTGCGGGTAACTTCTGAGAAGAACTCCCTGAGGGTCACCTTCAGGTCCAACGACCGGTTGGACGGCACAGGGTTCAAGGCTGACTACATCTTCTTGAGGGACTCTGAAATGCATAGCATGACTATGCCGGATTCTGTTGAAAGCAGTAAGTATTATTAAAACACTAAATAAATCTCAATTCATGTATATTTTTTCATGAGAGTTTTCTACGGTCCTGTCAAAAGAGCTCTCATTTTAAACGGAATACATCCACCGGAGGATAGATTTAATAAAAACCTTCTGTTTTTATTCTTCCGGGCTTTTAAAACTGAAACAACGTCTTAATTACTCGAAACATTATATTAATGAGAGTTATGCTTACCCATTAATTTTTTCATCAAAAATGTAATTATTTTATGAAGTCGAACAAAATTAAGGGAAAGGTTTTAAAAAGATACCAGGGATGTTTGGCACAGCCTACAGGATATTTTAGAATTTCGACAAAATCATTAACCCTTAAGTACCAGCGAAGCGAGACATAATAGAAATCAATAAATTGGCACCGCAGCCTCATACGACCATTTAGGATTCCACGAGTTAGTCAGTCCATTGTGGGCCTCACACTAGGTAGACCGACAATCTGGTGAAGGTAGCGGGAGGTGATTGGATGCAGGCGGCGCAGGACCGGTCTTTGTGGAAATACTTGGGGGAGGCCTTTGCCCAGCAGTAGACGTCATTCGGCTGAAATGAACGAGTAAAGTAATACAGTAAATTCGTGTTGCTTTCATTAGATTGTTGTTTTTTTTCAGAACTGTTTAATATTTTTTTTTATGTTTAACAAGGCAGGTATTTGACCACAATCGCACCTGATGTTAAGTGGGATGCAGTCTAAGATGAAAGTCTATTTTTCGGAAACAAAAGCCAAATTTTCCTTTAACGATTCTCGTTCGTGTTCTACACACCTTTTCACGTGATGTGTCGCTTAGAAATTCATGGAAACCCAAATTATAATTAGCGCCGTGTGTCGTAATTAATAATTGGATTCCCTTTGTTGTTGGGGCTATTGTCTCGTACTTGCGAACGAACATGATCGAGTGAAACAATGTCGGGAATGTGTGATTCGAATTCCTGAATGACAGTCTTTTGTTTTGTTGTACTTTTTTGTGTTTACAGATAAGGTTAACAGGTTTTTTTCTACATATTTTTATAATAAGGTTTTATTAATTATTGTAGCATTTGAGACACGATAATTATTACCTATAGATTGCCTAATCGGGACATCTTAAGTACGGAACCCTCTTTTTTTCAATAATATTAGGTCGATTATATAATAATAATATTAGGTAGGACGCGGCAGGGGAAGACCGCCTAAACGATGGACAGACGATATCCGGCAGCAGGCTGGAGTGAACTGGATGCGTGTGGCCAGGGACAGAAAACGATGGAGGGTTGAAGAGGAGGCCTATGTTCGAAGGCGAACCCAAAGGCTGACATAGATAGATAGATAGATAGATTAGGTCGATTAAACCATCGATTACGTACACAATCAATTAAAAAATATTACTTAAGGCTAGGATTTACCGCCTCGATGCCGTGCATTCGTTTACCTCAGCCCCCGCACACCTCGCACTGACACTCGCGCTGACATTCGCGCGACGCGATGACGCCACAGTGTAAAAACAAGCCGTAAGTTGGATTAAACCGTAATCTTCAAATAGTGAATAAACAAATAATAAAATTAAATATCCTTCGACATAATATTTTAACACTGCGCCTCTAGTCTCAAACTAAGCAAAGCTTGTACTATGGGATATGAACATACTTAAATAACATAACATAAATAAATACATAAGGTTAGAAAACACCCAGCCCGAAACAAACATTATTATAATGTTCATGCACACAAATGTTTGTCAATCAATAATGTCAAATGAAAGATGATATTAAGTCAAACAAATATTGCAGAAAGTAGGTATTGCAGAAAATAGTAGGTTAGGTTAGGTTAGAACAGTGACCCTTAACGCGCGAAGGCGAGCGAAGCGTGCCGCGGTAGCGGCCGCCGAGCGCTAGAATCACCTCTATTGTTAATGAATCATTTGGAAATTTCGATAAAAAGAATGATTAATATGAAAAATTAATATAGAACAAATTTAATATTAACTACCCACTAAACAAAATAATAACCACTTGTTAATTTGTACTCCATTCTATGCACCAATCAAATTATTTTGTAAATAGTGTATCGTGAAATATTTTTGCCAAATGAAACATTTGCCAAAACATACCTTGCCAAACAATAATTTGCTAAACAAAAATATGCCAAAAAAGGCATTTGCGAATTAAAAGTTTGCTATAAGTTGTTTTGCCAAATGAGAATTTGCCAAATGAAAATTTGCGAAACGTTGTTTGCGATGTGATAATTTGGGAAACGTTTTTTGGCCAAACATTAGTAATCCGTTTTTCAATAATATTATAAAATATGCAATTTTTAACAAGACCAGAAAAAAAATAGTTCAGTGAACTTACCAGATCGTCGCTGCAATCTTCCATCCTGAGAAACCAGTTCTTTCTAGTTCACACTGCAATTCAGGGCCCTGTAATGCAATAAACGTTGATTATTTATTTTCTCATGAGAAATATAATTAGTTGCGGAAAAAAAGTATTTACAGTGCAGAGATTTTACAAGGTCAGGACCAACTTGTTTTCGAAAAATATTAAAAGAAGTCCATTCTTTTAGGATGCCAGTTACAAATAATGAGATTGAAAGAATGAGGTTGGATTAAATTGTAACTATGTCCTTGCGTGACAAAAGAGCTCCTTAACAAGCAAATTGGTCACGAGTTTAAATGTGTTTTCTTTGTTCCAGGTTCTACGCATCATGCGCCCGCGCTGGTGTTCCTGACTTTCCTATTCGACCTCGTTCTGGCGATCAGATAATCAAGTGTTTGTTGCTGAAATAAATTATCACTGTTGGTAGTACTTGTTTCTTTCACCTCACTATCGCCCTTATTAATAAAAAGTTACACCTTAGTTGAACACTCTTTCGTGACATTTAGTATGGAAATGTCAATTTAAAACAGTGTTCAACTAGTGTGTAACTTTTTATTAATAAGGGGGTCGTATCTGTTGTACCATAGGGATTAGGACTTAACTACGCTGAATAATACTTATAGTCAATATTACCGCGTGCTAATGCGAATTAAAAATATAGTTTAATAACTGCTTAACTATCGGAAACACTGATTTGAATATTTCATACAGTTTAGATACCTCTGAGTACCATACAATTTAAACACAAAAGCCTATACAGCATTTGATTTTGATAAATAATTGTAATCATTTCAAATCCTTTAATAAAACCGTTGGCATGTAAACCCTGCATTATTACAGCGTCTTCCTTTGCCTAATAATTTATGGGGGTGCCGCCCGCGCGTGCCAGAAGTCTGTTTTCATTCGACATTGACTTTCAAGACCGTGTTTACTCTCACTGCTATGAGAAATACATACACATACATATACTCGAAAAACAAAAAACAGTTTAAAAATTATGTCTTCTAAACAAAATTAAATAGTAAGTAAGTACGGCAATTGGACACAATCAAGAGAATGGTCAGCAATGCATGTCTACTGTTCAATGAATCTTGTAATCGTTTTGCAAGACTCGTTGGGGAGCCTATGCATGCATAGCAGTCGACACCAATATTGATGATGCAAGTTAAATTACAAGTACCAAATGATATAATTGAAACTACACCCCGAAAAAACATGATTTATTTTAATAAATTATTCCTAAGGTAATTTTCATTAGGCAAGGACAGGGAGTAAATTAATAAATACTAAAGAAAACAAATTACTATACCAAGACAGACTTTCATTGCTTCTTTACATCTTTGATCAAAATTCCCTATTACGGTTTACACCCGAAGGATAGCTGTGTTTATTTTGACAACGTATAGTCACTTTGCAAATAACATTCACATCTTTGATCAAGTACACAGATGGTCACTGCTCTCCACAGTTGAAACGATCCATAACGTCCTGCATTCAATGTGGACAAAGATAATTCGTGCGTGAAAAAGGGCTCAAAGAGGCAAGAACTCACGGAGCGGTTTTCAGCCGGCGCCAGCCGCGGTTGCGGCAGCTTCTGTAGAATGCAGATAATGTATGTAAAACTAACGCCCGAATTCACAAACCATGCTTGCTTAAGTGAAGCAGCAAATCCAACGCACTACGTTGAATAGAGCTCTGTGATTGGTTCATGTGTCACCCTGTGCGTCCACGCGCACTGTGCGACCTCATAGTAATGTTTGTGAATACGGGCGTAATTGACAGACACACGACGCGGTTGATTCCCGCGGTGTGCGCGATTCTTTGAAAGAAAGAAAGAAGAAAGAAAAACAATTTATTTGGTTCAAACACAGTTTATCATAACGTGATATTTGACAGAATTTATTGAATCAAAATGGCACCCACTTAGCGTGTTTCATGCTCTAAGAGTCATATCGGTGGGCAACTTATAGAATCGCGCGGGTCGCGGTTACCGCAGCCTAGACGGATTGCTAACGCATGTTCTGCGATTGGTTGAAGGGCAACCGTGGTTATTCTATTACCAACCTGTCTTGCGATAATCACCCGCCAAGTTTACGACACAAACCAAAGGCCTTATGAGTTTTGGAATATAACAGCTGTCCCGCAACCGCGACGGGTGCGGGTGAAAACCGCCCCGTGAGTTCTTTGCCAAAGAGGTAGGTAAGATTCTTCCGGGCTGTTGACACACATCTCTGATGTGGGTGCTAAGCGGTTTAGTTAGGACGGAACGATCCGACCGCGTTGGCAAACAAGGAATCGCTTTTGTCATAAACCGGCGTTGGACGTTATTAATTTGAGCGTAATAAGTCACCGTTTTTGTTAAATATGCCCTAATTTATCTTGGCTTGTAACTGATTGTAACAAAACAGTTCGCCGCGTCAGCCAATGTTGTCCCAAGTTGTAGTAAGGCCTTTTCAAAGCACGTTTAAAAATGTCATATTAAACTCTACTATCTTCAATGGATATTACAATCGTGAAACCAATTACCAGTAAATCATACTTAGCTGTTACTAAAGGTAACCCTTAGACATTTAGATGGTCAAACTTGCTACAATCAGCACAGACGGCGAGGTATTCAAGAAGGTTATTAAAACTCTTACTATCAAAAATTCTTTATGATAATAGAACTTCAATGCAGTAGAACTAATTAGGTAATATACATATTTACTTTCAGGTTAAAAATATAAGTTGTGCCTTCGTTGAAATAGTTTTATTATGTAAGTGATGTAAGTAAGGCTATATTATAATACTATGCGTAAGTATCACAATTCCCTGAAGGAACGAACTCAAAAATATAGTAGGTATCATACATGTATCAGAAATTGCTTTTTTTTTTGATGCACTGAAAAATACTATGATAGTTTGCCAATTTTCGAGAGTGGAGCAAGACCACTGTTTTTTCTTACATTATTTTTTATTTCAAATCATGGGAGATGAAAATCGTTAGTCAAGTGCACAACTAGAACTTGGAACTTATCTAGTCCAATACGTGACTTGATGTGGAATAGTTTTTGGTGATTTATTTCCCTTATTTCTCATAAATAAATGACTTCAATTATCATTAATAAATCTTTGTGAGTATTACTGTTTTTTGATAAATGAAGGTCCCAATCCAAAGACCTACTTTACTTCACTATCATAGTCTTTTTAGTATTTTATTCTTATTCTTCATCTTCATCATGATGAACTTTGATGTTTTATTAATAACTTCAGTTAGAAACCACACAATTAATTTCAGTCGTCTCACAATATATTCCTGAATCGAATACAAAAGGCATTGTCCCGTCTTTGATCACGACATAAATGATATAATTTCGTGACAAATTGCTTTTTGCCAAATTATACCTACTTATTACAAATTCCATGATTTTGTAACGATTTCAATTTGATAAGATTTTTCTTCACTCGTATTATCTTCTAGATAGTACCTACAATGAAAGACTATTATTTACATAAACAGAAGTCTAAAGTTTCAGATAATCTACATGTTTCTAAATACCAACATGTGTATATTTGCAAGAGAATAGACATATTCGCGATATGTGTATTCTCGTGCGAATAATGTTCGACAGATAATATTGATGGGCTACAAAGTTATAAACAGTAAGTTGGAGAATTCACTGTAAATACACGCTAAGAGCGTTAACAGGGACCGATTTTAGCGATGAATGAGAAACTTTCAGTTACTTTAATAACCATTTCTAAGGAAAGAACTGAAAGAAAGAAAACATGTTTATTCAGAATCATCGACAAAACGCTTAGGCTGAGTTGCACCACCTATTTTAACCATAACAATAACAATAACCGATGCTTTTTGTATGGAATTTGACAGATTTTAGACGTTTGTCAAAGCTAAAGTAAGATGGTGCAACCCAGCCTTAACCTACAACTGCGTGTTAAGTTAGAAACTTTTAGACTAATCTTATCTAAAAATCCACTATCGATTAAAAACTTCCACTTAGGTCTAGGATGCATGCCGTGATAAGCTTTTATCGCGCCTTTTTATCGATTTGACGCGATAAGACCATACGTCATTTGGCGTCTAAAATCATCGATAAGATTTTATCACGGAACTGGCCCGGGAGAAATCACTCATACTATCGATATTGTCGTAATTGAAATGCTCCATAGTATGGAGTTTCCCTTCTTCGATAGTCAAGTCAATACATTTTTATGCAAGCCCAAGACTAGGTAAGATACTAAAATGATTTAGCCACCTTTTCAGTTAGGTATAAAGGCAAAAAATCTCATAAAAATCGCTCTTTATCTACGCCAGAAGGTCGATTTCCGATCGCAGGGTTCAATATCAAGGTTGGTTACTCCTCTGAGAGTGCGGAACGTACAATAGAACGATATTTTTATTACTCTAGGTATTTACCTATTTGTTGCGTAGTGCTTTTCAGGGTTACTTACATTTTTATCTAGCTAAACAGACGCGAACAAAGGAATTATCGATTGGCTGTAGGTATGATTATTATTTAACCTACTTCTTACTAGTTGATAACTACCCGAGAGCACGGTAAAGCATCATCATTTCAGCCATAGGAATTAAAGGGCCATAGGCCTCCCCAATGATTTCCATAACCCACTTAATTTTAAGCTGCATGTATCAAACAAGGCTGTATGTTTCTTTAATATAGATAAATAAAATAAAATAATGACCTGGTAGATGAGACATTGGTAGAGGCCTGCATCCAGCGCCTTCCTGCTACATTTGTGAGGTCATCGGTCCATCTCGTATCACTGCGCTTTCCGGCACGGCGAGTAAGTAAGTATAATTCTCTCGCCTGTCATTACAAGACTTAAAGTATACGGAAATGTTTGAAATAGTGCAAGTGGTTAAAACAAACTTGTCGGGCATTTGAACATATAAATCACCATCATCATCATTAATCAGCCACAGGTCGTCCACTGCACTGAACATAGGCCTCCCCCGATGACATCCACATCGCACGGTTGGTAGCGGCTTGCATCCAGCTCTTTCCTGCTACCTTTATCAGGTCGTCGGTCCACCTTGTGGGTGGACGTCCCTCGCTCAGTTTTCCGGTACGTGGCCTCCACTCCAGAACCTTGCTGACCCATCGGCCGTCAGTTCTGCGTACTATGTGCCCTGCCCATTGCCACTTCAGCTTGATCCGTGTCTATGGCAGTGACTTTAGTTCGTTTACGGATCTCCTCATTTCTGATTTGATACATTACATAATACATTGAACATAACACTCTCTCTTCTTCGTTCTTTTACACAAGTTTATAGAGTAAGTAATTACCTACCTCTATAAGTAGATTCTATATCATCTTAGCTAAGTCCCTGGAGGATATTAGCTACTCCCCCATTCTCTTGGTCTCAAACTTCGCGAGCCTCATCCAT